CGACCAGAACGAGTTTACATCTGGCCACGACTGGCTGGGGGGCTCGTCTCTCCTTCATGGTTGCAGCGTCCACAGGACTTGAACTCCGATTCAGAGGAGATGGTTGCGCCAGGTGCGTCTGGAACACCAACAGAGCCGGATTCCCTACCTCCCTCCGACTGAGGCGGAGGCGAGTACAGCCGTCTTATATTTGTCTGGCCGAGCCAATCACAAGAGGAGGCGGACTCCGTTACGCCCAATCCCTGAGGTGGGATCCCCTCCAGCAGCCAATGGATCTGAGGATCTGAGTCAGCGCCCTCTTCCTCCTTTTTCCCTTCTCTTAAAGCTGCACCGTTGCTTCCCCCTGAAGGGGGATTCCCACGTTGTTTTGCATTTGTATTAGGAAAGAGAAAGGGTACTGGAAGCCACATAAAATTATCTGGAGTGTCCACCAATTCGTGTCATAAAACAAACTAGCTATGGAAGCAGAAAGTGAGGTCAGGCTGGAGTTTCAGGGACTGTCCCAGGTGGGTTACAAGAGCAGGACCTGCTTAGACTATAGACAGGTGTGTGTGTGCGTTGGTGGAGTGGGGTTGCGGGAGGTGGCCCAGAGCTTCTCTGACTTTTTTTTCCTTACATCTTTTAAGTAGAGACAAGAGTCTCACCATGTTGCCCAGAGTGGTCGGTCTTGAACTTCTGAGCTCAAGCAATCTGCTTGTCTCAGCCTCCCAAAGTGCTAGGACTACAGGCATGAGCCACAGCTCCTGGCCTGATGTCTGGCTTTTTTGTTTTTTCTAATTCCCATCCAAACCAGGTCTTACTTCCCCTCCCAATATCAGCTCCTGCTGTACTCCTTTTATTTTTATTTATTTATTTTTTTTGAGACAGAGTTTTGCTCTTGTTGCACAGGCTGGAGTGCAATGTTGTGATGTTGGCTCACCACAACCTCTTCCTCCCCAGTTCAAGTGATTATCCTGCAACAGCCTCCCGAGTAGCTGGGATTATAGGCATGTGCTATCACCCCCGGCTAATTTTTGTATTTTTAGTAAAGACAGGCAGGCTGGGTGCGGTGGCTCACGCCTATAATCCCAGCACTTTGGGAGGCCAAGGCAGGTGGATCATGAGGTCAAGAGATTGAGACCATCCTGGTCAACAAGGTGAAACCCATCTCTACTAAAAATACAAAAATTAGCTGGGCATGGTGGTGCGTGCCTGTAGTCCCAGCTACTCGGGAGGCTGAGGCAGGAGAATTGCTTGATCCCAGGAGGCAGATGTTGCGGTGAGCTGAGAACCTGCCATTGCACTCCAGTCTGGGTAACAACAGCGAAACTATGTCTCGGAAAAAAAAAAAAAAAAAAAAAAAAAAGACAGGGTTTCTCCACGTAGGTCAGGCTAGTTTCAAACTCCTGACCTCAAATGATATGCCTGCCTCAGCCTCCCAAAGTGTTGGGAGTACAGGCATGAGTGACCACGCCTAGCCTGTACCCTTTTAAAGCCTTCTTTTCTTCAAGAATCACCTTTACCACCAGTGAGAGAGAGAGAGAGAGAGAGAGAGAGAGATTTCTCTCTCTCAGAAAAAAAACACACAGCACCTGACCCAGAGATGGGTAGAGAGAAATGAGAGACTCTGGCAAGTGGGAATGGGAGAGAGGAAGAAAACAAAGCAAACACAGTCACTGTCTGTTTGGCCAGACAGCCTCTCACCCATGCCTGGCAGGAGCTGCTTAGGGGTGTTTGTTCTGTGGTCTGGGCTCAGCTTCCTGGATGAATCAGGCACAGGTCCAGTTCCATGTTAACGCCCACTGAAACTGATTAACTAATGTGTGTCAGCTGGTTGAAGTCCAGACTGGACCTAGGATTTTCATTTTGGGATTAGCTCTCAGACAATCTAAGGTTGAGATGAGCTACATAACTTCTTAACAGACCTGACCTGTGGGGCCCCTGTATTTTGAGGAGGCTCTCTACTAGACAGAACTATGGGCTGCCCACAGCTTAAATAAACCACTGATTGTCCAGGAATCAAGACTATCCAAATAAGAACTCCTGGGGATTCATGATTGAAAGAAGACCAACCTTGGGCAAAATTGAGAGTAGTCCCTTCCCCTTGTCAAGCGCAGCATCTCTGGGGCATGCCGTGGGTCTTGCTTCATCTGAGCTTTACTTTTTTTTTTGGATACAGAATCTTGCTCTGCCACCCAAGCTGGAGTGCAGTGGCATGACTCACTGCAACCTTTCCTCCCAGGTTCAAGCTATTCTCTTGCCTCAGCCTCCTGAATATCTGGGATTACAGGTGCCTGCTAATTTTTGTATTTTTAGTAGAAATGGAGTTTCGCCATGTTGGCCAGGCTTGTCTCACACTCCTGACCTCAAGCAATCCACCCGCCTCGGCCTCCCAAAGTGCTGGGATTATAGGCATGAGCCACCATGCCCCAGCCTGGGTTTTACTTTTTTTTTTTTTTTTTTTTTTTTTTTTCCCAGAAGCAGCTTGGTGTTCTTTATTGCCACCATGTCCTTCTGGAGATACAGAACCCCCCAGCAGGCCAGGGAGGCAAGGCGGGCTGGGCCACCAGGAAGCCGGGAGGGGGATGCCCTAGCACCTTGGTCCTGTTGAGGCTTGAAGTGCCTGCTTGGCCCTGACCAAGGGGCCAAGTGGAAGCCTGTGCTGGCTGTGGGGAAGTGCCAGGCTCACATGGTCCAGTAGAGCAGCATGTTCTTCCAGTTTTGCCGAGCAACTTCAGTTCCTTCTCGTAGTTGAAGACTTCACTCATTAGGCTGTTTTTCTCCTTCTCCAGGGACCTCCTGGCCTCTGGGCTCAGCTCCCTGCTGTGGAACCTGGAGTTCACAGCCTCTAGGTCTCTCCGACACTGGGACAGCTTCTTCTCTAGCCCATCGATCTCTAGAGCAACGCCCAGATTCTCCCACTTCTTTTTAGTCATGTTACTTGTCAGGATCCCCCCAGTCATCGGGGTTTTACTCTTAATTCATAGTCCTTGCTGCCCCACCCAAGGGTAGTTTCCCTGTGACAAAGGATGCTTGAAAGCCTTCCACAGACCTAAAGGGACAGATCTCTAAGAGTGAGATTTCCAGTGCCCACTATAGGCAGTTAGGAGAGTAGATGTTATTTTGGGAATAAAGCCTAACCAGTGTTCCTCCAGTCAAACCATGTGGCTCTGGGGCCAAGGCCTACAACTGCTCTCCACCCAAGTCCTAAGCTCCATTTACTTCCAGGGATGGGGAATGGCCTGAGGGAAACTTCAGGGTGGAAAGGGCATCCTTATCCAGGTGTTGCCCTTAGCTGCCTGCCCTCCTCTCCCAGGCTTTCTGAAGGTCTCTGCCCTCTACCTCCACCATCCTCCATCCTCAGATAATGTTCTGTTGATAGAATTTGTCCTCTTCTTGCCCTTTTCCAGCAACCTGACCGCCTCTCTGAGCTGTCTATAAGTGGGGCTTGGGAGAGTTCCAGGAACAGCTATAAGATCATGGACTGCCTCAATCTGGAATCCTTTCCCTCAGCCTGACCTTCTCCTTCTGTCTCCTCCTGTCCCCTACCTTCAGTCTCATCTGGACTTAGTTCTGGAAGTATCAGTAGAGTTCCCATACATCCTCTTAATCCTTAACTGGGTTCCCTCCAATCACAGCCCCAAAAGTGTTAGCCTTCTCGACATGTTCTCTACCAGCCTCCCCCTACATACACCATCCATCCGCCACTCCAAATAAACATTCAGAAAAAGTAAAAACTGTTCCTGCTGCCGGGCACGGTGGCTCACACCTATAATCCCAGCACTTTGGGAGGCCGAGGCAGGCAGATGATGAGGTCAGGAGATCGAGACCATCCTGGCCGTGGTGAAATCCCGACTCTACTAAAATACAAAAATTAGCTGGGTGTGGTGGTGCACGCCTGTGTAGTCCCAGCTACTCAGGAGGCTGAGGCAGGGGAATAGCCTGAATCTGGGAGATGGAGGTTGCAGTGAGCCGAGATCACGCCACTGTACTCTAGCATGGCGAAAGAACAAGACTCCATCTCAAAAACAAACAAACAAACAAACAAAAAACTGTTCCTGCTAAGCAAACAGCTTCTTCCGGCTTCTAAGAACAATGCCATACCTGAGCTCCTCCAAGACAGAAATTCTGAGAGCTGGTGCCAACACTGATTCTTCCCTAAGTGGCTGCATTTCAGGGTCAAGTAGCAGAAAACCTGAGCAATGATACAGAGCAGCCTCCACCATGGCTGAGGCTCAAGATGTGTCTCCAAGGATATTTTGTGGGTCATATGTTTATGGGGTTTCATGGAAAGGGTGTTATGGGTGTGTGAGTATATGTGTTAGATCAGGGGGCAGTGAGGTAACAGGAAAAGGTTGGAACCAACATGCAGTAGGTATAGGCCTTGGACTTTGCTTTGTATGTAACAAGCTGTGTGCCTTTGGGTAAGTTACTTCTCTCTCTGGGCACCTATTTGCTTAAATGCAATGTGAGGAATTTAACTAGAGAAGTTTTTGTTTGTTTGTTTGTCTTTTGAGACAGAGTCTTGCTCTGTCACCCAGGTTGGAGAGCAGTGGCGTGATCTCAGCTCACTGCAACCTCTGCCTCCCAGTTCAAGCAATTCTCTTGCCTTGGCCTCCCAAGTAGCTGGAATTACAGACATGTGTCACCATGCCTGGCTAATTTTTCAAGCAATTCTCTTGCCTCAGTCTCCCAAGTAGCTGGAATTACAGACAGGTGTCACCATGCCTGGCTAATTTTTCAAGCAATTCTCCTGCCTCAGCCTCCGGAGTAGCTGGATTACAGTCATGCACCACCACGACTGGCTAATTTTGTATTTTTAGTAAAGACAGAGTTTCTCCATGTTGGTCAGGCTGGTCTGGAACTCCTGACCTTGTGATCCCACCCTCCTTGGCCTCCCAAAGTGCTGGGATTACAGGCGTGAGCCACCGAGACCAGCCTAAACCTCTTTTAAATAACTTTATTTAAAACTCCATAGCTGGCCGGGCGCGGTGGCTCAAGCCTGTAATCCCAGCACTTTGGGAGGCCGAGGCGGGTGGATCACAAGGTCAAGAGATCGAGATCATCCTGGTCAACATGGTGAAACACCGTCTCTACTAAAAATACAAAAAATTAGCTGGGCATGGTGGCATGTGCCTGTAATCCCAGCTACTCAGGAGGCTGAGGCAGGAGAATTGCCTGAACCCAGGAGGCGGAGGTTGCAGTGAGCCAAGATCGCGCCATTGCACTCCAACCTGGGTAACAAGAGCGAAACTCTGTCTCAAAAACAAACAAACAAAAAAAAACTCCATAGCCAAGACTGGGTATGGTGGCTCACGCATATAATCCCAGGATTTGGGAAGGCTGAGGTGAGAGGATCACTTAAACCCAGGAGTTTAAGACCAGCCTGGGCAAGAGTGAGGTCCCCATCTCTACAAGAAAAATTTAAAAATCAAATAGAAGTCTGTAGCCAGATTAATATGTTAAGATGGCTCTTCCTGACCAGGCACAGTGGCTCACACCTGCAATCCCTGCACTTTGGGAGGCTGACGTGAGTGGATCACTTGAGGTCAGGAGTTCGAGACCAGCCTGGCAAACATGGTGAAACACCATCTCTACTAAAAAAAAATTAGCCAGGTTGGTGGCGGGTGCCTGTAATCCCAGCTACTCTGGAAGGTGAGGCAGGAGAATAGTTTGAACCTCGGAAGGCAGAGGTTGCAGTGAGCCGAGATCGCGCCACTGCACTGCAGCCTGGGCAACAGAGGGAGACGCTGTCTCAAACAAAAACAAAGGTGGCTTTTCCCTATCAAGACCAGAAAAATTTAAAACAAGGTTATAGTTGAAAACATTATGCCAAGGTGAAAGAAGCCAACCACGAAAGACCATAGAGCCTATGTCCCTTTATAGAAAATGTCCAGAATAGGCAAATCCAAAAAGACAGAAACTAGATTAATAGTTGCCTAGGTGTGTAGGGTTGATGAGGAAATGGGGAATAACTGAAAAATCATCGAACTGTATAGTTCAAACTGATGAATTCAGGCTAGCTGCAGTGGTTCATGCCTGTAATCCAACACTTTGGGAGGCTGAGGTGGGCAGATCACTCAAACTCAGGAGTTCAAGATCAGCTTGGGCAACATGGTGAAACTCCATATCTACAAAAATACAAAATTAGCTGGGCATGGTGGCACATTCCTGTAATCCCAGCTACTCAGGAGGCTGAGGCAGGAGAATCGCTTGAACCTGGGAGGCGGAGGTTACGATGAGCCGAGATCACTGCGCTGCACTCCAGCCTGGGCAACAAAAGCGAAACGCCATCTCAAAAAAAAAAAAAGAAAAGAAGGGCCGGGTGAGGTGGCTCACACCAGTAATCCCAGCACTTTGGAAGGCCGAGATGGGTAAATAACGAGGTCAGGAGTTCAAGACCAGACTGGCCAAAACTGTGAAACCCTGTCTCTACTAAAAAGTACAAAAACTAGCTGGGCATGGTGGCTCATGCCTGTAATCCCAGCTACTTGGGAGGCTGAGGTAGGAGAACTGCTTGAACTGGGACCCAAGAAGCAGAGGTTGCAGTAAGCCAAGACTGCGCCACTGCACTCCAGCCTGGGCTACAGAGCAAGACTCCAGAAAGAAAAGAAAAGAAAAAGAAATTAAGAAGAAGAAAACATAAAACAAAAAAAAAATTAAGAAAATAAATTAAGAAGAAAAAAGATTGGTAAGGGAAGACTATGGATGTAGCAAACTTGTAAGCACACCCAAGGACTGAAGAATCAATCCAATCCACTGGAACAGACGATTCAGGGTGGGGAGGTGTAGCAGCTTGTCTGAAAACATAATTAGAAAGAGAAATCTGCCAGGCACAGTGGTTCACGCCTGTAATCCCAGCACTTTGGGAGGCTGAGGCAGGCAGATCATGAAATCAGGAGATCAAGACGATCCTGGCTAACACGGTGAAACCCTATCTCTACTAAAAATACAAAAAATTGGCCAGGCATGGTGGTGCATGCCTGTAGTCTCTGCTACCGGGGATCTGAAGCAGGAGAATTGCTTGAATCCAAGAGGCAGAGGTTGCAGTGAGCCGAGATCGTGCCACTGCACTCCAGCCTGGGCATTAGAGCAAAACTCCCTCTCAAAAAGAAAGAAAGAAAGAGAGAAATCTACTACTAAAATATTTTTAAGCTGGGCAAAGTGACTCACGCCTATAATCCCAGCACTTTGGGAGGCTAAGGCAGGTGGATCACAAGATCAGGAGTTCAAGACCAGCCTGTCCAACATGGTGAAACCCCATCTCTACTAAACATACAAAAAGCCCAGCGTGGTGGCATCTGCCTGTAATCCCAGCTACCAGCTATTCAGGAGGCTGAGGCAGGAGAATCGCTTGAACCCAGGAGGCAGAGGTTGCAGTGAGCCAAGATTGCACCATTGCACTCCAGCCTGGATGACAAAGTGAGACTCTGTCTCAAAAAAAAAAAAAAAAACTTTAAAAGCACTTCAAATCCAAAGGCATAGGGGTTTGTAGTTTTTTAAAAATATATATACATATACCTGTATGTTGTTCTTGATCATCAGTGTCCTCCAGTCAAAAGACCACCAGCAGATATCTGTAGTTGAATAAAATTGGGTTTATTGAGTCACTTCTGTTATTTCTTTCTTCTTCTTTTTTTTTTAATAAGACAGGGTTTCACCATGTTGGCCAGGCTGGTCTTGAACCACTGACCTCAGGTGATCCGCCCCCCTCGGCCTCCCAAAGTGATGAGATTACAGGCATGAACCACCACACCCGGCCTCTGTTATTCCTTTTCTTATTTTTTTTTTTTTTAAGACAGGGTTTCACCATGTTGGTCAGGCTGGTCTTGAACTCCTGACCTCTGGTAATCCGCCTGCCTTGGTCTCCAAAGTGCTTGAGGCAGGAGCCACCACGCCGGGCCTTCTTTCCTTATTTTTTTAATACCTCTGTTGCCCAGGCTGGAGTGCAGTGGTTTAATCACAGCTCACTGCAGCCTCAACCTCATTGGATGAAGCAATCCTCCCACCACAGCCTCCTGAGTGTACTATAGGCATGTATTACCACACCCAGCTAATTATATGTATGTGTTTTTTGTTTTTTGTAGAGACAAGTTCTCACTATGTTGCCCAAACTGGTCTCAAATTCCTGAGCTCAAGCAATCCCCACCCATCTTGGCCTCCCAAAGTGCTGGGATTACAGAAATGAGCCACCATGCCTGGCCTTTTCTTTTCTTTTTTTTTTTTTCTGAGACAAAGTGAGGCTCTATCCCCCAGGCTAAAGTGCAGTGGCATGCCTTTCCTTCTTTTTAAGACTAGGTCTCAGGCTGGGCAGGGTGGCTCACGAGGCCTATAATCCCAGCACTTTGGGAGGCCGAGACGGGTGGATCACGAGGTCAAAAGATCGAGATCATCCTGGTCAACGAGCTGAAACCCCGTCTCTACTAAAAATACAAAAATTAGCTGGGCATGGTGGCACACGCCTGTAGTCCCAGCTACTCGGGAGGCTGAGGCAGGAGAATTGCTTGAACCCAGGAGGCAGAGGTTGCGGTGAGCCGAGATCGTGCCATTGCACTCCAGCCTGGGTAACAAGAGCAAAACAAAACTCCGTCTCAAAAAAAAAAGTGGCTCACGCCTGTAACCCCAGCACTTTAGGAGGCTGAGGCTGGTGGATCACCTGAGATCAGGAGTTCCAGACCAGCCTGACCAAAATGGTGAAACCCCATCTCTACTAAAAATACAAAAATTAGCCAGGCGTGGTGATGCATGCCTGTAATCCCAGCTACTTGGGAGGCAGAGGCAGGAGAATGCTTCAGCCCAGGAGGTAGAGGTTGCAGTGAGCTGAAATCATGCCTTTGCACCCCAGCCTGGGTGACAAAGCAAGACTCCATCTTATAAATAAATAAATAACAAAGACTGGGTCTCAGTTTGTCACCCAGTGTACAGTGATGCAGTGGCAAGGTCATAGCCCTAAACTCCGGGACTCAAGTGATCCTCCCACCTCAGTTTCCCAAAGTATTGTGATTAGAGGTGGGAGCCATTGTGCCTGGCAGACTAATTTCTTCTTTTTTTGTTTGTTTATTTGTTTTTTGAGATGGAGTCTTGCTCTGCTGCCCTGCAGTGCAATGGCATGATCTCGGCTCACTGCAACCTCCATCTCCTGGGTTCACATGATTCTACTGCCTCAGCCTCCTGAGTAGCTGGGATTATAGGCACCTGCTACCACACTCAGCTATTTTTTGTATTGTTAGTAGAGACGGGGTTTCACCATATTGGCCAGGCTGGTCTTGAACTCCTGACCTTGTGATCCACCTGCCTCAGCCTCCCAAAGTACTGGGATTACAGGCGTGAGCCACCGCACCCAGCCTGCAGACTAATTTCAATAAGAACACATGCCATGGTGGAACTGTGGCACATCCAATAAATGAGTGTTAGAAAGGACTTAGAATTTGAACTCACATTTGGTGATTTGGGGAAGAGGTGAAGGAAGTGAGGCTTTGCTTGGGATTGGATGCTGCTCAGAAAGAGGAGTATCCAGGAGGCAGAGGCTGCAGTAAGCCGAGATCGTGCCACTGCACTTCAGCCTGAGCAACAGAGGGAGATTCCATCTCAAAAAAAAAGTAGAGTATCAATAAATCTTCTGTCCTATACAAGGTGGGAGGAATAAAGCAAGGCTAAATGCTTGGAAAAGAAGCAGCACTGGCTCATGTTAGCTTGGATGCACAGATGCTTCGTTATTCTTGTGGTTTTGACAGTGTTCTTGTTTCTGTCTTTGTTCAGAGATGATTACTGAGAGATCTTGTTTCTGTCTTGATCTCTTGAGGTCAGTCACAGCGTGGCCTTGCCTGATGTTGGTATTCTGTGAAATGCTTATGGAAAACCCAAGCATCGCTGAGAGTGCCAGGCAAGTTCCTGGCTGCTGGGAGCTGTTTTCTCATTCTCAGCTCCTCTTCTGCTCCTCTTCCTGGGAGCTGGGCATTGTTACATAAGTGGTGAGAGAGAGCTAAGGAAAAACAAAAAGAAAGAAGAGAATTTCCCAGGAAAGCTTTCTGGAAGAAGTAGCACTGAGCTATGAGGCAAAGCAAGAATAGATACTGAGAGGTTGGCCAGAGCACAGGGAATGTTCTGGGAGAATGGGGTGGCTTGGACGCAGGAATGGAGGCCTGGGGAAGAAGACCAGTGCATATGTGTATATGTGTGTGAGAACAGGAGGAGAAAAACAAAACAAAACAAGCCACCTGAGCTGTACTAAGAATGAGGACAGAGGCCAGGCGCGGTGGCTCATACCTGTAATCCCAGTACTTTGTGAGGCTGAGGCAGGTGAATCACCTGAAGTCAGGAGTTCAAGACCAGCCTGGCCAACATGGTGAAACCCTATCTCTACTAAAAATACAAAAAGTAGCCAGGGGTGGTGGTGGTTGTCTGTAATCCCAGCCACTTGGGAGGCTGAGGCAGGAGAATCGCTTGAACCCGGGAGGTGGAGTTTGCTATGAGCTGAGATGGTGCCACTTCACTCCAGCCTGGGCAACGATGTGAGAATCTGTCTCCAAAAAGAGAAGAAGAATAAAAAAGAAAAAAAAAAGGAATTTAAGAAAAAGAGAGAAGGAGGAAGAAGAGAGGAAGGAGAAGTAGAAGGAGAGGGAGAAGGAGGGGGAGGGGAGAAGGAGGGGGAAAGGAAGGAGGAGGGAGTGGGAAGGGGAGGGGAGGGGAGTGGTATGTGGGAAGACTGAAGCCTTCTCAAACTTAAAGAAAAAAATAGGCTGGGCGCGGTGGTTCACACCTATAATCCCAGGACTTTGGGAGGCCGAGGCGGGTGGATCACGAGATTAAGACTATCCTGGTCAACAAGGTGAAACCCCGTCTCTACTAAAAATACAAAAATTAGCTGGGCATGGAACTCCGTCTCAAAAAAAAAAAAAACCTTAAAAAATAAAAATAAAAAATAAATAAATAAAAAGAAAAATAATAATTAGGAGGGAGGATGAAGGTGGCCAAGGATGGGGCCAGGGTGAAAATAGAGGAAGGGGCCAGGTGCAGCAGCTCATGCCTGTAATCCCAACACTTTGGGAGGCCAAGGCAGGACGATCACTTGAGCCCAGGAGTTGGAAACCAGCCCGATCAACCTATCAAGACCCCATCTCTACAAAATCAAAAAAACAAAAAACTAGCCGGGCATGGTGGTGCACGCTCCTATAATCCCAGCTACTTGGGAGACTGAGGTGGGAGGATTGGTTGGGCCCGGGAGATCGAGGCTGCAGTGAGCTGTGATGGAGCCACTGAACTCCAATGTGGGTGACAGAGCAAAACCCTGTCTCAAAAAAGATAAATTTTTTTTTTTTTGAGACAGGGTTTTGCTCTTGTTACCCAGGCTGGAGTGCAATGGCGCGATCTCGGCTCACCGCAACCTCCGCCTCCTGGGTTCAGGCAATTCTCCTGCCTCAACCTCCTGAGTAGCTAGGATTACAGGCATGCGCCACCATACCCAGCTAATTTTTTGTATTTTTAGTAGAGACAGGGTTTCACCATGTTGACCAGGATGGTTTCGATCTCTTGACCTCGTGATCCACCACCTTGGCCTCCCAAAGTGCTGGGATTACAGGAGTGAGCCACCACCCGAAAGATAAAATTTAAAAAACAAAACGAAACAGAGAAAGGTAGTGAAGATAGTAAAGAAGACTGTGTTTCTTCTGGTTCCTGCCAAGTTGGGGATGGGGAATGGAAGCACAGGGAGGAGCAGAGGGCAGCTGGAGGGAGCTCAGAGTAGCTGCACTTGGTGTACAGGAGACTGGAGACCACACGCAGGCCTTCTGCCTTCTCTTGCCACTAGCCCAGGGCTCGGCCAAAATTAAGGTGAACACTTGCTAGGTGAGTGGGAGAGAGTAATTCCCAGGCAGGAAAGGACCTCAGGAGCACAGGAGTGAGCTGGAAAATGATGTGGACCCTGAGCCAGGCCCACTTCTCCTCCAATTTCCCATCTCCTCATCCTCCCAGGTAGCAGGGATTCTCTGTCTGTTTTATCCTCCTTTTCTTTTCTTCAGACTGAATCTCGCTGTGTTGCCCAGGCTGAAGTGCAGTGGCACAATCTCGGCTCACTGCTGAGGCAGGAGTCACTTGAACCTGGGGTGACAGGTCGAGACTCTGTTTCAAAAAGCAAGTAAACAAAACACCGGAAAGTACATAGGCAATGTTTATCCTCTGCTTAAAGTCTTCCTGTGGAGTCAGGTCCACTTTTTTTTTTCTTTTTTTTTTTTTGAGACAGAGTCTTGCTCTGTCGATAGGCACCAGGCTGGAGTGCAGTGGGGCAATCTTGGCTCACTGCAACCTCCGCTCCTGGGTTTAAGCGATTCTTCTGCCTCAGCCTCCTGAGTAGTTGGGAATACAGACACACACCACCACGCAGACACACACCACCATGCCCTGCTAATTTTTGTATTTTTAGTAGAGAGGGGTTTCACCATGTTGGCCAGGATGGTCTCGACCTCTTGACCTCGTGATCCGCCCCCTCAGCCTCCCAAAGTGCTGGGATTACAGGCGTCAGCCACCACACCCAGCCACACTTCTTTTTTCTTTAAGACGGTCCCTTCCAGGCACAGTGGCTCACACCTGTTATCCCAGCATTATGGGAGGCCAAGGCAGGTGGATTACCTGAGGTCAGGAGTTCAAGACCAGCCTGACCAACATGGAGAAACCCTGTCTCTACTAAAAATACAGAAATTAGCCAGGTATGGTGGCAGATGCCTGTAATCCCAGCTACTTGGGAGGCTGAGGCAGGAGAATCACTTGAACCTGGGAGGTGGAGGTTGTAGTGAGCCAAGATCGTGCCATTGCACTCCAGCCTGGGCAACAAGAGTGAAACTCCGTCTCAAAAAAAAAGAAAAGAAAAGACAGTCTCAAAAAAAAAAAAAAAAGAAAAAGAAAAGACAGTCTCACTCTGTCACCTAGGCTGGAGTGCAGGGGTATGATTACCGCTCACTGCAGCCTCTACCTCCTGAGCTCAAGTGATCCTCCCACCTCAGCCTCCCAAGAAGATTGGACCACAGGTGTGTCCCAGCACACCTGGCTACTTTTTGTGTTTTATGTAGAGATGGGGTTTCGCCATGTTGCCCAGGCTAGTCTCTAACTCTTGGGCTCAAGGGATCTCCTACCTTGGCCTCCCAAAGTGCTGGGATTACAGGCCTAAAACACATTGCCTGGCACTTTTTTTTTTTTTTGAGATGGAGTCTCACTCTGTCGCCCAGGCTTGAGTGCAGTGGCACGATCTCAGCTCACTGCAACCTGCACCTCCCAGGTTCAAGTGATTCTCCTGCCTCAACCTCCCAAGTAGCTGGGACTACAGGTGCATGTCACCACGCCCAGCTAATTTTTTGTATTTTTAGTAGAGACAGAGTTTCACTGTGCTAGCCAGGATGGTCTCAATCTCCTGACCTCGTGATCCACCCACCTCGGCCTCCCAAATTGTTGGGATTACAGGTGTGAGCCACTGCACCAGCCTTTTTTTTTTTTTTTTTTTTTTTTTAGACAGGGTCTCACTGTGCCATCCAGGCTTGAGTGCAGTGGTGCGATCATGGCTCACGGAAGCCTCAACCTCCTGGGTTCAATCAATCTGCCCATTCAGCCTCTTTAGTAGCTGGGACTACGAGCATGTGCCACCATGCCTGGCTAATTTTTTTCCTTTTTTTTTTTTTAAGATGGGGTTTCACCATGTTGGTCAGGCTGGTCTTGAACTCCTGACCTCAGGTGATCCACCCACCTTGGCCTCCAAAGTGCTTGGATTACAGGCGTGAGCCACCATGCCTGGTACCTGGCTAATTTTTTTAAATGTATTTTTTGTAGAGACGGGGGTCTCCCTATGTTGCCCAGACTGGTCTTGAACTCCTGGGCTCAAGTAGTCTGCCCACCCAGTCTCCCAAAGTGCTGGGATCAGAGGCCTGAGCCACTAAGCCCAGTCATAAAGTCTATTTTGAAGAAAATCCAACTTTTTATCCTGGTTCATAGAGCCATTCACAACCTATGCTTGCACCCTGGCTGACCTCACCTCCTTCAGTTCTCTCATCAGCCACATTAGAGAACTTTAAAAAATTCCTCCAATAATTGTTTTCAAACTTTTCTGTTCATAAGTCACATTCAGAAATGCATGTTATATCACAATCCAAAACATACATTCCTGTTATATTTAGAGATATAGATATATCAATATATATTATGCTATATATATCTCTCTCTGCATGCATATATAGATGTCTCCTAAACGCTCCTGAAACATCTACCTTTACAATGCACTCTGATAATTTTCTTTTCTACTTCTTTTTTATTTTTTGAGACAGAGTCTTGCTGTCGCTCAGGCTGGAGTACAGTGGCATGATCTTGTCTCACTGCAACCTCCACCTCCAGGGTTCAAGTGATTCTCCTGCCTCAGCCTCCCAAGGAGCTGGGACTGCAGGCTCGCACCACCACGCCCAGCTAATTTTTGTATTTTTAGTAGAGATGGGGTTTCACCATGTTAGCCAGGATGGTCTCAATCTCCTGACCTCGTGATCCACTTGCCCGAGCCTCCCAGAGTGCTGGGATTACAGGCGTGAGCACCGCACGCAGCTATCTCATTTTCAGATGCTTGTCAGGACTCACTAAATTGATTTCACTATCCACTGTGCTCACACATAAGCTTATATTCAGGGCCTTTTCTCTTCTGGCTGTTTCCTCTGCCAACAATGCCCTTCTCCCTGACTGTCCCCATTGGCACCTTTTCATCCTTTAGATCTCAGGTTGTCTCCTACCCAGAGGTCACCGAGCCTGAAGTAGCCACCTGATCCTTCTCTTTCATGTTCTCAGTATGGCCTTTATCCTCTGATATTTTTCTAGTTTATGTTTTTTGTTGACCTATTTTTTGTTGATTGTCTTTCTCCCTTACCATGATAAGGTGGACTCTGTAGGTACAGTGACCTTCTCACTTTGGTATCATACCTACAACAGTGCTTGGGGACAGCAGATACTCAATATTATTAGTAGACCATGGGAATGGGCTTAGTCAAGACTCTTGCTCTCTTTGGGCCTCAGCATTCTCCTCTATACAGTATGAGGTCAGAGCCACTCCCCAAGAGCCCCTCCAGCTCTGTCAATCTAGTTTCCAAGAAACACCAAAGGATGTGCTCCAGAAACCCCAGGGTTGGGCCTGTGGGTGGGACAGAGATGCCTAAGCAGTTAACTGAGCCCAGATACCGAGAAGGGGACTTGCTTCCAGGCTGCTGAAAGCCAAGGATATAAGCCCAGGCATCCAACAAAGAATGGAAAGGCAGAACTGGAGCCAGCCAGACATAATGAAGACAACTGTGTTGATATACTTCCCATGTGCTAAATGCTCTGCCTGCATCACCTCATTCAATGCTTGGTCCTCTAAGGGTGGAAGAGGTGGAATAGAACATCACAATGCATTCGGGCTCTGGAGTCAGCCAGATCAGATTCAGAACCCAACTACGACACTTGCGTAGACAGCACAGGTGGAGAATGCAGGCTCAGGCCACACTTACATGGCTTTGAATCCTGGCCCTGCTAGTTACTACTTAAATGACTTAGGGTAAATCACCCAACCTCTCACTGAATTTTCTTATATCTTTTTTTTTCTTTTTTGAGATGGAGTCTCATTCACTCTTTCACCCACGCTGGAGTGCAGTGGTGCAATCTCAGCTCACTACAACCTCTACCTCCCAGGTTCAAGCAATTCTCATATCTCAGCCTCCTGAGTAGCTGGGACTACAGGTGTGCGCTACCACACCTGGCTAATTTTTGTATTTTTAGTAGAGATGGGTTTCACCATGTTGGCCAGGCTGTCCTCAAACTCCTGACCTCAAGTAACCTGTCCACCTTGGCCACTCAGACTGTTGGGATTAAGGCGTGAGCCACAGCACCCAGCCTGAGCTTTTTTTATGTCTTAATGAGGATGGCATTCATTACATTACCTCATGGTCTTTCCAGCACATCTCTGGGAAGCCTTCCTGGGGATTAGGAAATTTAAACAAACTTGGAATCTCCCGTTGGCCTCTATCCTACCTGACCCTGTGGGCTCCTGGCCTCTGAGTACAGTTTGCCAGTTGGAAGGCTCAAAGCTGAGGTCTGAGTCCAGGGTTTAGCGCTTAACTAACTTGTGACCTTAGATAAGCTACAACCTCTTCGAGCCTCACTTTTCTCAGAAGGATTTAGGATTTCCTGAGCCAGCCTCAGTCTCCCCAACCTCAACACTTTCTCTTCCTTCTCTTCCCTGAAGGAGAGAAAACAGAATTGCCACAAAGAGCCCTAAACTCTGTTATCATTAAAAATCTTGGGGGCCGGGCGCGGTGGCTCACGCCTGTAATCCCAGCACTTTGGGAGGCTGAGGCGGGAGGATCACAAAGTCAAGAGATCGAGACCATCCTGGTCAACATGGTGAAACCCTGTCTTACTAAAATATAAAAATTAGCTGGGCATGGTGGCACACACCTGTAATCCCAGCTACTCCGGAGGCTGAGGTAGAAGAATTGCTTGAACCCGGGAGTCGGAGGTTGCAGTGAGCTGAGATTGTGCCACTGCACTCCAGCCTGCCGCCTAGCAACAGAGCAAGACTCTGTCTCAAAGAAAACAGAATCTTAGTCAGGCATGGTGGCTCCGCCAAGATTCTGAATTCCAACACTTTGGTAGGCTGAGGTGGGCAGATGGCTTGAGGCTAGGAGTTTGTGACCAGCCTGGGCAACATAGGGAGACCTTGTCTCTACAAAACATAAAATAATTAGCTGGGCATAGTGGTGGCCACCTGTGGTTCCAGTTACTCAGGAGGTTGAGGCAGGGGGATCACTTGAGCCTGAGAGGTTGAGGGTGCAGTGAGCCATGATGGCACCACAGCACTCCTGCCTGGGTGACAGAGTGAGCCCTGTCTTGAAAAAAAATCGGCTGGGCATGGTGGCTCATACCTGTAATCCCAGCACTTTGGGAGGTGAAGGCGGGTGGATCACCTGAGGGTATAAGTTCAAAACCAGCCTGGCTAACATGGGGAAACCCTGTCTCTACTAAAAATACAAAAATTAGCCAGGGGTGGTGGCAGGCGCCTGTAATCCCAGCTACTCGGGAGGCTGAGACAGGAGAACCACTTGAACCGGGGAGGCAGAGGTTGCAGGGAGTCAAGATCCCGCCATTGCACTCCAATTATTGGGTGACAAGAATGAAACTTTGTCTCTCTCTCTTTTTTTTTTTTTAAGACAGGGCTTCACCATGTTGGTCAGGCTGGTCTTGAACTCCCAACCTTAGGTGATCCGCCCACCTTGGCCTCCAAAGTGCTTGGATTACAGGCGTGAGCCACCACGCCCGGCTGAAACTTTGTCTCAAAAAACAAAACAAAACAAAACAAAAACCTCTTTCCTTCCTCTTCCAGCTCTCTCCAGGTTGAATAATTAAAATCCCCTTTTTTTTCTTTTTTTTTGAGACAGAGTCTCACTCTGTTGCCAGGCTGGAGTGCAGTGACACAATCTTGGCTCACTGCAGCCTCTGCCTCCTGGGTTTAAGCAATTGTCCTGCCTCAGCCTCCCAAGTATCTGGGACTAGAGGCACCTGCCACCACACCTGGCTAATTTTTGTATTTTTAGTAGAGATGGGGCTTCACTGTTTTGGCCAGGATGGTCTCGATCTTTCAACCTGGTGATTTGCCCCCCTTGATCTCTCAAAGTGCTGGGATTACAGGTGTGAGCCACCGTGCCTGGCCTCTTTTTTTTTTTTTTGAGACAGAGTTTCTCTCTTGTCACCCAGGCTGGAGTGCAGTGACACAATCTCCGCTCAGATTCCAGTGATTCTCCTCCCTCAGCGTCTCAAGTAGCTAGAATTACAGGTACCCACCACCACGCCTGGCTAATTTTTGTATTTTTAGTAGTTTCACCATGTTGGCCAGGCTGGTCCCAAACTCTTAACCTCAGGTGATCCTCCCACCTCGGCCTCCCAAAGTGTTAGGATTACAGGTGTGGACTACAACACCTGGCCAAAAATCCTCTCTTGCCCTCACAAATCTAATTCTTACTCCCCTCCCACATCTCTTCTTTGCCACCTCCCTGTATCACCTGTGTCTTCTGACACTGAACACCAAGCCCAGCTTCAAATCCCTCTGGGTGGGGTTCGAACTGAGTTTAGCAAAAGAAGGCTGAGAAATAACCCTGTGTCCCATAGGCCTCTCAGATCCAGGGAATCAATGGCTCCATTCCTGAGGTCTGTGCCACCAGGAAGGCACTGTGCTAAGTGCTGTTGGGGCTCAGAAACCAATATCCCAAAATATCGTGTTTTGTCATCCTGAACTAAAGAAGCCTCAAGGTCTCTCTGATCTTCTTCCCACCCACCATCTCCCAAAGTGAACTTCCTTTATCTGCCTGAGATCCAGACCCACCAAAAGGAACAACTGTTTTTCCTTCCCCTCTCTGTAAGAACAAGAATGTACGTAACCACACCTGAACAGACTCTTTTGCAAGATAATGTACGGGTCAGTTTCTGTTCCCCAGATGCATTCATTCTCTCTAGTAATCTTCTCAACTGAATTCCTCTTCTCTGCCTCCCATCCCATTTTGCTAGGATGGTATACAAGCTCCTGACCCCCACCTGGGAGTGGACACTCATCATGATTCTCTTCATTTACATCTGTTAAATACATTAGCATGCTTTTCCTCCAATTAATCTGCTTTTTGTGAGTTGATTTTTCAGCAAAGCCTCAGAGGAAGAAGAGGAAAGTTTCTCTTGGTCCCTACGGTGCCCTCCTTGCATGATTTCATGTAAACCTTTTTGCAACTCTACTAAATATAATACTATAGTACTGATGGTGAAACCTAAACATAATTGGTGGGGTGCAGGGTTCTAGGTTCATCTGACTCTGTTAGGGAAACAGTATAAAAGAGCCAGACTGACTTTTTTTTTTTTTTTTTTGAGACAGAGTATCATAGCCAATTGCAGTATTGCAGCCAATGAGGTTTATCCGAGGCACGATTATTGCTAATTGAAAACTTTTCCCAATACCCTGCCATGACGGCTTAAAATATAGTCAGCATTGGCAATTTTTGACAGTCCCTACGGAGACTGAATTATTTTTAAAAAAAAAGAGAGAGAGAGAGAGTCTCGCTCTGTCGCCCAGGCTGGAGTGCCGTGACACAATCAGGGCTCACTGCAACCTCTGCTTCCTGGGTTCATGCAATTCCCCTGCCTCAGCCTCCAGAGTAGCTGGGATTACAGGCACGTGCCACCATGCCTGGCTAATTTTTTTTTTTGTATTTTTAGTAGAGATGAGGTTTCACCATGTTGGCCAGGCTGGTCTTGAACACCTGACCTCAAGTGATCCACCTACCTCAGCCTCCCAAAGTGCTGGGATTACAGGTGTGAGCTGCCGAGCCTGGCCTCGGTGACACCATTTAAAAAATCAACTCCAGGCCGGGTATGCACCTGTAATCCCAGCTACTCAGGAGGCTGAGACAGGAGAATCTCTTGAACCTGGGAGACAGAGGTTGCAGTGAGCCAAGATTGCACCACTGTACTCCTCCAGCCTGGGTGACACAGTGAGACTCTGTCTCAAAAAAAAAAAATCAACTCCATATGAAAACTAGCCAGGCATGGACCAGGCACAGTGGCTCACGCCTGTAATCCCAGCATCTCAGAAGGTCGACGGGGGCAGATCACTTGAGGTCACAAGTTAGAGGTCACCAATCTTGCCAACATAGTGAAACCTCATCTCTACAAAAATACAAAAATTAGCTAGGCATGGTGGTGGGCACCTGTATTATTCCCCAGCTACTTGGAAGACTGAGGCAAGAGAATCACTTGAACCCAGGAGGCGGAGGCTACAGTGTGCTGAGATCATGCCACTGCACTCCAGCCTGGGTGACAGAACGAGATCCTTTCTCAATAAATAAATAAATTAAATTAAACTAGCAAGGCACATTCCTTGCCAGTCACAACCCATGGTCATAAGACGTTTATGGCTAAGAAAGCAGCTTGATAATGCCTGCAAGGACAAACTCCTATCACAACAGAATGTCCACATACCCTGTGACTGCATAACAATTAGGCCTTTAAGATAGTCATAGTTGCCAGGCGCGGTGGTTCACGCCTGTAATCCCAGCACTTTGGGAGCCTGAGGCGCACGGATCACTTGAGGCCAGAAGTTCGAGACCAGCCTGACCAACATGGTGAAACCCATCTCTACTAAAAATACAAAAAATTAGCTGGGCATGGTAGTGTGTGCCTGTAGTCCCAGCTGCTCAGGAGGCTGAGGCAGAAGAATCACTTGAACCTGGAAGGCGGAGGTTTCAGTGAGCCAAGATTGTGCCACTGACACTGACTCCAGCCTGGGCAACGGTTTGAGACTCTGTCCCAAAAAATAAAATAAAGAAAAAACAGAGTCATAGTTAGCTGCTGCTGCTTTTTTTTTTTTAAAGATGGGGTTTCACCATATTGGTCAGGCTGGTCTTGAACTCCTGATCTCAGGTGATTCGCCCACCTCAGCCTCCCAAAGTGCTGGGATTACAGGTGTGAGCCACTGCGCCTGGCCATAGTTATGCTGTTAGGTACTTATGCCCTAAAAAAGTAATAATAAAGATAGTTTTATTTAAATCCACAGAATAACAAATTTTGTCATGCTATCAGCCTACCCACACCTAGACATAGCTTAGCTTTTACATAGATAAGACCCCCTACATAAGATGAATTGGCTGGGCGCAGTGGCTCACGCCTGTAATCCCAGCACTTTATGAGGCCAAGGCAGGTGGATCACTTGAGGTCAGGAGTTTGAGACCAGCCTGGCCAACATGGTGAAACTCTATTTCTACTAAAAATACAAAAAATTAGCTGGATGTGGTGGTGCTCACTTGTAATCCCAGCTACTCAGGAGGCTGAGGCAGGAGAATCGCTTGAATCCAAGAGGTGGAGGTTGCAGTGAGCCGAGATCATACCACTTACTGCACTCCAGCCTGGGTGGCAAGAGTGAAACTCCGTCTCAAAAAAGGAAGTTGGCGCATTCCTCCTCCTCTTGCTTTTTGAGGATACCCTACTCTGTAACTGAGTAGCTTTCAACCAGCTATCTCTTCTCACTGCACCCTGTGGCTTGCCTTGAATTCCTTCCTGCAGGAGATCCAAGAATCCTCTCTTGGGGTTTGGATGAGAACCCCTTTTTCCAGCAACAACTCCACACTTCCTGTGAATCAGGATGCTACTGAAGTAGGACAAGCCAGAACAGCAGGGATAGAGTTGCCTTTTCTGAAACAAGGGGAAAATGCCACAATGGGGAGGGAGGAGGAATTTCTTGAAGGGAAACAAGTTAAAAAGGATAAGGAACCCAGAGACTCAGAACTGTGTCACAATCTGCATATATTGGTAATATAACTGAGGGGACAGGAGAGGCAGAGAGATGGGAGGAGGGTGGGGTAACTCCGGGAATTCTCAACAGAAGGTAAGGTTGTGTGCCAGAGGGGTGGGAGGCTGGGAAAGGGAGACAGGGTTGAAGAAAGGTCAGGGGAAGAAGTGGCCCCACACCCATGCCTGCGGAGAATTGAAAGATCAGGAAGGTACTAGCATGTGAAATATTTTTTCCAAAGGCTAAAAATACAGTGAAAAGGAAACACACAAACACAAACTAACCTAACCAGAAACAGGGAAAAGCGGTCACAGCAACAGCTGAGAAATCTGAGACGGAATTTCAGGAACTGGGATAACTCAGTGACCTGAGCTTGGAAATTCCACCCTGTGACGAGGCTCTGGAGAGCGACTGCTTCCCATCAGCGTCTAGAACACTTTCCAGCAGCCTAAGGTGGGGCAGAGAGGGAATAAGGGAATAAGCCAGGCGGCGGTGAATGCCCCCATTTGAGAGGGCATCCCTGTTACCTCCAGGGAAGGTGGGCATGGGATGGATAAAGTGTGGGACCCTCCATTTAGCCCACTCTCAGAGTAATCATAACTTCCTTACCAACAACCCCTTACTAAGATGCCAAGTCTTGTCAAGTAGTATCATCCCCACTTTATAGAGGACACAGGCACAGAGAGGTTAAGCAATTTGACTGAGGTCTCACAGCGGGCAAATAGCAGTGCTAGGAACCTTTCTTTTTTTTAATTTTTTTTTTTTGAGACGGAGTTTCAGTCTTGTTACCCAGGTTGGAGTGCAATGGCACAATCTCTGCTCACCACTACCTCTGCCTCCTGGGTTCAGGCAATTCTCCTGCCTCAGCCTCCCGAGTAGCTGGGATTACAGGCACGTGCCACCATGTCCAGCTAATTTTTTGTATTTTTAGTAGAGATGGGTTTTCACCATGTTGACCAGGATGGTCTCGATCTCTTGACCTCGTGATCCACCCACCTCGGCCTCCCAAAGTGCTGGGATTACAGGCATGAGCCACCGTGCCCGGCCGCTAGGAATCTTTCTGAGATCATAGAGCTCTTTCCTGACCATCTAATGAATGCTATGTACCCAGTACCCAGGAAAAAGCCTTATTTTTTGTTTTTAGGAAAAAGCCTTATAATGAACTTATACATATTCCATTCAATTTCAGGGAGTTCAGAGAGCCCCTAAGCCCATTCCATGGGAAAGAAATTGGATAGTAGGCAAGGTTGAATGATCTCCCACCGTTATCCCCAACCCCAGGGTCCAGTAAACAAAGCCACAGTGTATATGGGGGAGGGTGGCTTACAGGAATTGCACACCACCCCTTCCTTGAAACCTCTACTAGCCTGGGACCGGGGTTTTGCCCTAGCTGGTTTCAGAGGCCTCCCCAACCTGCTCCGGCACGAGGCAGTGATCGGGGTGGCAGCTGGGAGGGGGTGGGCTGGGAAAGCCGTAACCGACTTTGTGGGGAAGCTGGAATTGTGCTATATTGGAGGACAGCACCTCTCCCTCACCCCCTCAGGGTATCCTTTTTCGGGCTGAGATTTGGAATTGCCCAGCCTGGAAGAGATGAAGGCCTCCTCCCTTAATTAAATGCCCAGGGGTTGCTATGGAAACCAGAGCTTCCAAATCCTGGCCAGACAATGGGGAGAGGAGCTATCTCCAGTGAAGCTTCAGGGGCCTTGCTGGGGACAGGAATGGGGCCAGAGGGTGAGAAAGAAGGGGGTGCCAGCTGAGGAGCTCAGCCTCCTCTCTCCCTGGGGCTGTGGGAAGGGGCCTCTCAGAGCCAAGGGGTCTGAGACAGGGGCAACCCTCCTGGAAAGGGGAGGTAATGGGGGTGGGTAGCTGGAGCCAGGCACTGCCCAGAACTGAACACCTCCTTTGTTCCCAGAGGAGAAAAGCCAGCCAAGTTGGTAAACAAAGGAAAGAGGCCAGAGGGCAGACAGCTAAGTGATAAGGCAGGGACCGCGGAGAGCTGAGTAATGGAGCCCCAGAGACAGGGAAATCTCCATGGTCCAACTGACAGGCAGGACATGCAGCAGGCCTGTATACATTGTCACACCGACACACACAGTCACAGCAATCACACAGGATACACAGGTGTTCCTACAGAAACACTGGTCTTCAGGGACACTCAGGGTATCCTTTTTCAGGCTGAGATTTGGAATTGACCTCTCCTCTGGAGCTCATTAGTCTCCCTCCTTTGGAATGTTTATGGAAGGCAGAGGGCAGGCCTCTCTTTCATGAGCTGGACTCCCGCAGGTGGGAGAACTGCACGCAGGGTTCAGGGACGTCAGCAGGTCATGGATCCTGTCACCACACTTTGAGAGGAGACACCCCCGTTTGGAAAACATCACAACACAGGTCATTCACTTATGTGCCGGGCACTGTGCCAAAGGCAATATAGTCTCTAGCTTCATGCCCCCTACAACTATGTGAGGTAAAAATGACTGTCCTCTTTTACTAGAATCTGAGGGGAATTTAGGTAAATCAGGCGCACACTCACAGTAGATAAGTGGAAGAGCTGGGATTAGGATTAAACCCAGGTTTGTCTGGCTCTTCCCATTTTTCCTATATTTGCTTCAAAAACTTCTTGGAAACTTTTCTGAGCAAGCCTACTCTGTTCTCATCCCTTCCCTCTCCCACTCGGTGTTACCTAAATACTTCTCTAGAAGCAGTTCCCAATTTGCAAGCTGGTTATTTAAAGGGTTTA